GGGTGACAGGAATGCTACACAGGAGGGTCTAGATAATGGGTACATATGCGTATGTATAAGTTACAAGGCAATGACTTGAACATCTGTGATGTTTCCACTTTGCACATTTTACTGCATACATTTTAAGCCTTAATTTAAAAAATTTGTTAAAGGAAAAACTTTTAAAGGTCTCTTTTTGATAAATATTTAGCTCATATGAAGTTCAATGCCCCCTTTCAGGGCTGGTTCTTCTCTTTCAAGGGGTCTCCCCTCTACTTTCTTCCTGCCTGCCCTCTGAGGGGAATTTATACCTCCTAATGATGGTGTGGGAAGAGGACTCTTTGGCTTCCTCTCATCCCATTGGTCACTGGGAGCCTGTGTTGACGTCCAGCAACCCTAAGACACAATGCTACTATCGTCTCCACTTTATAAATGAGGGAATTAAGTCACAGAGAAAGAAGTCAAGTAAACTGGCCAAACTCACAAAGCTAGTAAGTGATAGAATCGGGAATTAAACTAGCAGGCCAGCTTCAGAGCCTGTGCTTTTAGCCATTTATAGAGTGTGGCACATGCAAACAGAGCTCCACATCTGGCTGGCCCCCATCTTATCTTCTTCCAACCAGATTGCCTGTTCCCAGTCTCATCCAATATGGAAATCCCGAAGCTGTCACTGTTGGAGAGAACCTAAAATAGAAGACTACAGAAGCTACAGAGGCCAGCCAAGTGGAGTATAAAAAACAAATGAAACAGTCATCAGAAGGCACAGGTTAGGAGAATTAATGAGTTAGGAGCAGGCTGCCTGAGTGAAGCTGACTGATCAGAGATTATTTTTTGAGTGCTTGTTTAGAGAGTCAGTTGTGATGACTATGAAAAGAAGAGCACAAAGGGACTGAAGGCTCAGAACATTTGTTTGTTTTAGAGAGCAAGAGATTAGTTTATCACAGTGTAAGGAATTTCAGGGACCAAACACTTATGTAAAATAGACAATTTGTAAACACATAGTGCAGATTTAAAATTTATCCCTGTACCTCTTGTGCTGAAAGTTTTATTTAGAAAATGCCCAAGTTCCAGCTTCTTTCTGCCATATCCCTCAACCTTACCATGTCTGCCTCAGATCTTTTTCAATCTGACTGGACAAGAGGACTTTCTCTTTATAATTTTAATTTATCCTCAATTCAAGCAGATTCATTGTCATTACAAGGAGTCTCAAAGCCATCTTCCCATATGACAAATGGTTTATCAGAAAATAAAACAAACAGAAACAAGATTTTCTGTGAAATACAGACCAATATGATCTTTGCCTATGAACCATCTTCCTACAAGCTGGCACCCTATGGCAGTAGTCACCCTTAGACTGGAGGTGAAGATCTCTCATGATGTTGCTGGAACTTCATCAAATATTTTGAACTACATTTGTGTAGAAATGTCCTTATGTGCTTGAGCAGTAATCAGTCTTCAATTTTTCTGCTCATATACTCAAAAAGAATTTTGGAAAACTATGTATTCCCTTGTCTGTTTATGAGAACCTTTTAATCATAAATTTACTAATTCAAGAAAAATATAATTTCTACCATATTGTTAATATAGACATTAAAATAATAAGACAGTTTTACTACTCTTTAAAATGTTTCAGATAGACTCTAAACACTGTAGCATCACAATATCCACCGTTATCCTTTTTAATAGTATATAAACAAGTTCTTCCTCAACAGTTTGGGTGTCACATAGTTCCTTTTGCTCTGTGTACACATTACTTGCCCCACATTATTCAATTGTAATATTTTTTGCTTCGAAAATATTTTTATCATCTTACCATGTTTGCCGTATTAAAAGATATGTTTATAAACTTTTTTAAAGTTTTCTGTGAATTTAAATATAGATTTTACAGTCTTCAATAACATTTTGGTGAAAAGTAAATTAAAATATTTTTCCTATGAAATGTTTTTCCATATTTTCGAGAAAATATGAAACATAAACTTACCTAATATAAAAAAAATAACAAAATTAATAGAATATTTACCAATGCAGGACTATTTGAAGGGCTTCACAGCAACCTCAGGAAGTGAATATGTTATCCCCTCATTTTTGTCGATGAGCAAACTGAGACCCGGGAGAATTAAGAAATTTGTGCAAAGTCACAGTGAGTTTAGATTTGAAACCAGAAATTCTAGTTACTCAACCTGTGCTCTTAGCTGACATGCTGTACAGCCTCACTATTTTCCTTTCATCTTAAGATATAACAATCGGTTGGAAATAAATGAGGAACTAGTAACATCTTTCTCATTGAAATCATGCAAAATATACAACTGTGACCTAGACCAAGAAACAGGTGAATGAGACTCTCTGTCTCCTTACAGAGGATGGTATACAAGCTAGGGACGTGTGCTTCATGTAAGTTGCTGTTTCCTAGCAAATTTTTACAGATCTTGAATATTCTAAAAGAAGCAGACAGATAAGGTCAGTTGACTTGCCGGAGGATTTTTGCCTAGGTTAAATAAGGCACTGCCACCTTTATTATTTCTCATCGATGCTGTCTTTGCTCTGCTTTCATGAGATGCTTCCTTAAGAGGAATGCATTCTTTGACACAGGGTGGAATAGAAGAGTTTATTAAACAGAAATTTTATTACCATGCTACTTCACTCTGCAATATATCTGAATAGATAATATCTTAACACGTGCAAAAGTTAGCAGTTTATTACACACCATTTAACCCCAATAGGAATTTATATGAGGCAGGGATAACCATCAAGCCCTATTCTGGGTATACGATGCCTAAATTAGAAGATATTTTTGAGTTATCCCTTCATTTGCACCATAATAATATAAGGGCTAGAAAAGAAAAAGATGAGTGGCCGTAAAAGGGGAATTAGAAAAGTATAATAGATGCTCTGACCACAGAGATCTCCTCAGACATATCAGTTTTAGGCAAAAATACATATGTGAAAGTTGAAGATCTGGAAAATAATTCCAGTAACACATCCCACACCTTCATAATGTTCTTTTTGTGCACCTTCTAGAGCATGGGACAGACTCCTTCAAAAATCACCGTGCTAGACCAACAGTGTAAAAGTACAAGGTCTGGAAGGGGCAGCGCTTAACCCTGTCCACTTCCTGAACTTCTGCTTGGGTCAAGAATGCTTGGTGAGCTGGAACTTTGTTGGGTTAAAACATCTGCATTCTTGTGAGTGTGTTTTATGACAAGTTTATGACAAAAGTTGAGTAACGATGCCTTCTAACTCTATAAACATGTTCCAGTTTCTGGGAGTAGCAAAATATTCACAGAATAACCATGTGAATTAATCACAAGATAAACTGTTCACCATGGTTTACTCCCTTTCATCTCCCTCTACTCCAAGTGCCCATTGCTTTGAGTCATTTGTTGTGTGTCTTTGGAAACCAAAATTTTTATTTACACAATTTTGATAATGCTTGGTAATATTTTCAATAGCTTTATTGAGATATAATTTACAGACTATATAGTTCACCTGTTTAAAATAGGTAACTCAATGGTTTTGGGATTAGAGAACCCTTCCAATCTGAAAACTCAATCTTCTGTATTATTCTTTTACTTGCTCTCATTCACATGTTAGTCATCCTGAGTCTATCCTCCAAGTGTCTTACATTTTCTAGGTGGTTTTCATCTCTGTATTGCTGTGTCTAATTGAGCTATTTTTCCCACTTGTTCTTCCAGGTTAATTTTATTCTCAATAATGGCCAGTCTTTTTCATTTTGTCTATTAAAATTTTACACTTGAAAATACATATTTTATCATTTTTAATTACCTAAATGAATCCCCTGGTCTTATCTCCTTTATTTTCATGTTTTTCACATTATGCTCCCTGCAGTTCACACCAATGGGAGGCACCTTCTCAGGCGGTTCAACTCAGCTTCTCCTTCTTGTTGCTAGATCCCTTTAAGTAAGGGAATGATAATTAGCCTGTTTATGGCTTAGCATGGCCTCATTAATTAGTTTCAACTCTTTGGATTTTGAGAAACCCAGTAAGCATTGGAAGGCAAAGCAGTTCCTACTGCTGTGATTTGGGATGAACCTATCAACAAACTGCTAATTCTCTCCTGAAGTCTCTGTCAGAGGTGGGAGCCCTCTCACTGCCTCATGGAATCTGGGGCAACTCAAATTTCCAAAGCAGCTCCCTCTGTCCTCCAAGACCTGTAGGATCGGGTAGCCTTCTCCCTAGGTCCCACAGAAAGGATATGTGCAGCCCTTCAGATAGGGAATTCCTGAGAATCTCAGGCTTTACCCTATGAGCCTCTTAAAAGGTTAGATAGACCTTAACCAGAAAGGTTAAGGCCACAAAGACCTTTCCCTGGTAAAATAGAAAGTGCTTTCTCTCTGAGAAAAGCACCAGCTACCACCTTCATTCTGATAAGTAGCCCAGGTCTGAAGCAAATGTAAATGCCCCAAAAACTGTGACTTTGAGCGAACACACCTTGGTGCATAGCACACGTAACTGTGCCTCTCCACATTGTCATGCTCTGGAGTTTCTATGTGCCACACGTGATCTCTTGTACGACAGGCCTGTACGATGAGTCTATAGAATCCTGGCACATTCCCTCCCTTCTCATTTCTTTCAACTCAATTCCCCTGTCAATCTGAGTGAGTCTTGGGGATACTGGGGTCCTGCTTGGGACAAGAGGAATTAGAAAATAGGGACAAATATGAATGAAGTCTCTAGATTTTACTGTGAATATTTTTATCGCCAGGTGGATTTCAGCATAGAGGTTCTCTCATATAACTGGGAAATTCAACACAGCATTGTAAACACCCACTCATGTGCATATTTTTTCGATGCGTTTATTTCTTAGCTAAATGACCAATAGAGATTCCTCTTTCCAATGTCCAGTAAAAGCAAGAGAGAGGGAGGAAGTATCTTCTTAAAGGCTGTCACAGACCCAAAGTTAGGAGAGGAATCTTGCAGATGAATGAGAGGACATTTAGAACTTCAGTCTCCGAGGTCAGCTTCCTCCATGAAGAATTTGGCACTCTGGCTTCAACAGCTGCTTAAGGTCTCCCTCTCATCTCCATGACTGTGGAAGATACTGTTCTCCTCCAGAACCAGTTAGGGCCCCACTGAGGCCTGTGGTGAACTCCATGATTCCCTCCAGGGCCCGGGCTAAGGTGGAGGCCGTGGGGGTGGTAGACACCTGTGTCAAAGACATCTCCCAGGGACAGGGAGTTTCTCTAGAAAAAGAAGGGTGAATAGTTTCAGAATTACATCCCCCTCTCCCAAATCTTCACCATGGACTTCTTCTGGAATCTTCTCCCCCTTCAAACCATTGGTCACCTAGTACTCCTTTCATCAGCCTTTATTCCTTCGTTTGGCCCCCCTTTTCCCTCAAGGCAATGGTTTCCTCTGCACATTGATTGGCTCCTGTGGTTCTAGTTTGCTATTTCTCTTTAGTAACTTTCTCCTGATCTTTCTTTCCTCCCTACTCAACTAGGTTCCCCTACTATTCATACCCCATTTCCTTATGTTCCTGCTACTCCCTCTCCCAGGCACTTCTCTACATATTAGGCACTTACCACACAGAAGAAGAGCCCAGCAAAGAATCCCACAGCCACTACAGCTGAGACTAGAGTAATGAGGAAGATTTCCCATGGCTTCAGCGACCCACTGGGCTTCACTTTATTCTCTGAAGCAGCAGCACTTGTGCTAATTCTATTGGAAATAGTGTGCATTCCAGTTGAAGAAGGTGTGCCCAAGCCTCCTATGGTTGTACTGGATCCAGTGTTGGCAGCTGTGCTGGTCCCACTGGAAGTCATGCTGGATCCAGTGTTGGCAGCTGTGCTAGATCCAGTACTGAAGGCTGTGCTGATTCCACTGAGGGTCACACTGGATCCAGTATTGGAGGTTGTGCGGGTCTCACTAAAAGTCATGCTGGAGCCAGTGTTGGGGATTGTACTGGCCCCACTGTGAGTTGTGGAGTCAGTGTTGGCAGATGTACTGGTCCTACTGGAGGTCATACTGAACCCAATACTGGAGGTTATGCTGGTTCCACTGGGTATTGTGCTAGAACCAGGGTTGGCAGGTGTGCTGGTCCCATTGGGGGTTACACTGGATCCCGTACTGGAGGTTGTGCTGGTTTCACTGGGGCTCACACTGGATCCAATGTTTGAGACTGTGCTAGTCTCATTGGATGATGTGCTGAATCCAGTACTAAAGGCTGTGCTGGACCCACTGAGGGTCACGCTGGATGCAGTACTGGAGGCTGCACTGGTCCCACCAGAGGTTATGCTGGATCCAATGTTGGAGGCTGTACTAGCCCCACTGGAGGCCACATTAGAGCTGGTGTTGACAGATGTGCTACTATCACCAGAGGTTATGCCTGATAATAATGATAAATAATGACAAATATATGTTGAGCATATACACTTTCTGCTCAACACTTGGTAAAATTCATTACGTAGATAGTTTAATACTCACTACAGGCCTATGAAATAGATACTATTATTATCGCTTAAGATAAAGAAATTGAGGCTTAGAAATGGAGTCTAGCCCAAATTTATACAGCTGGTAAGTCATGGAACAGGATTTTGAACACAGGCTATTGAATCTTCACTTTCAGCTACCATGTTCAGTCGCACTACCCACCCAACCTGAATACCAGGTTTCTATGACCTGTTTTCACTGGCAGTAAGCTTATTCCAAAATCTGCTATACAAGATTAAAAGTATCATAAAGGAATTGTAGGACCCAGGTGAAATTAGTATACATTGATTAATTCATTCTTAAAGTAGTATTACTCCCTTCTTGGAAAATATTTCTCAGAGTGTTATTCAGAAAATACTCACACTAGGATTATCTGGAGAGCTTGTTGAAAATAAAGTTTCCTACTCAAACCACTTCAGATTAAGCAAGTCAGAGTTTGAGATCAGACCCAGATAGTTGCCTCTTCTAAAGAGGCTAATGATTTTATATGCATTAAAGTTCCAGGGACTCCTGATTACTATGGCAGAGGCTGGAGAAGAACAAGTTATATGTAGCTTAAATGTATAAGATCTCCCAGTATTAAGGGCTATAAATCAATATCTACATGTATAGGAAAGTCTTTCAACCTTTTTGGAGGCTCAGCTGGAGTTAAGGTTATGCCTATTTTTTTGCCCCTCACTACCCTAAAGGACAAAGACACTCAGGATTCCCAGAGCCTGTATTTATCTCATTGTGGCCCATTTTACTGCTATTTGGGACATGGGTGCCTATCACTTTGCTCTGCACATGTGTATTTTTTTCTCAGTCTTATTTGAACTAACAGAGGATTGAGGGTAACTCTATTTTGGGAAGGTCCCCAAATTCTGCATAAGGTACAAATTAGGATTAAGATCAGAATCATGAGTAAAATTAAGAAAGTAAAATGACCAAAAGTAGGGGTGACATGTGAAAGAGATAGTGGATTTGATCAGAGAAGTTTTTAAGAACAGAATAGAGGAATCAAAATTATAAGAGGGCTAATTTTGATCCAAAATAATAAATTCTCTAAGAAGTCCTGCCTTCCAGTTGTTCAGTAGGAGTTGGCCCAGGGAGTGTTTGAGTGCCAGGGGTGTGAATACAGGGTGAGAGTCAGTTTTGACTCTTGAATCCTATTCTCCTCTGTCTGAGGCTAACTTAGGCTGATGCAGAATTAATATTAGGAACAGGAGAGTTTGTAGAATATAGATGAGTGATATTTTTTAAAATAGTCAACTTCTTATTCTTAATATTTAACCCCCAGCCATATCACACAGGTTATTACCATTTTATAGATGCAGAAACTGAGGCACAGAGAAGTTAAACAACTCACTCAAAGTACACAGGTAAAAGATGGAGGAGCCATAATTCATATGCAGGCAATCTGAGACCAGAATCCACAGTTTTAACCACTGTACTCTGACTGCCTCCCTGGTGATACATTATTAGACTGAAGTGATTGGAGTAAAATGATGGTCCTCACTGCATGGAGGAGAACCAGAGCTAGCCTAGTAGTGGTCACCACCACCAAAATCCCTCAGAGGTTCTCAGACCACCCACTTTTAAAGAAAATCACTCACCATATTCTGAAAGTAGGAGATGCAATAGTAACCAATACTTAACAGGAATGTTTTCTTTATGCATCTCGATCTGCCTCTCGGTGGTTGGAAAGCAAGATGCCTGGATCCCAGATGTGATCAAGACCTAGAAGGCAAAGAGCAGTATTCCTGAAAAAGGAGAGTTCAAGGGAAGAGATAAAAGGCTAGACCTCCAGGAGCTTGGGTCTCCCAAATATGTGTTCTTGGGGGCGTTAAGAGACTAGAATGCTGGGTTTCTTAAGCTTCTTCCGTGTGATGTCGTTGCCTCTTTCTTTATTGTGCAAAAACTGCAGGGGCCTTTATACCTTCATATGGGCTGGGGAGGAGTTGGGAAGTTGACTTGTTCTTCTATCAACTGTGAGCAGCTAACAAAACAATACTGAGCCTGGGAAGAAATAGTTTAGGGGTCAAGAGGAAGGTGAAAAAGGAGAATAACATGATCACACTAGACAGGACACTGGGCTGGGTTACAGCAGGAAGTAGAATGGGTTAAGAAGATCAAGGTTGTCAGAGTGGAAAGGACCCACCCTCTGAGGCAGGGATGGGGCCAAAAACCTGTTCTACTTTAAGACTCTATTTCCTGGTCAGGAAATCTTGTGTACCTGGCTTAAAAAGGAAGAAGCCCTAATGGACTGAGCTGAGGGGGCAGGACCCCACATCTCTAAAGCAAACAGAAATATGAGACTCAAAAAAGAGCAGTAACTAGGGATGAAGGCTTCTGGCTTATAAACAGAAAACAAATGGAGCACTGCTGTGTATGCTGTAGGCATTCAACAATGAACACTGAATGAACAGGAGAAGAGAGATCTAGGGATTAATGAAGCCATCCTTGAGGTCTCTCAGGCATGGGGACTGAGAGCATGGGGAGAGTGTTGAACATGCATAAATAAGCCACATGGCAGACTCAGAAGATGCAGGGGTGGCATAGGGCCCCCTTATGACCCTCAATTTCCCGATTGCTTGTTTTCAGATGAATTTATAAGAGCTTTTTAAGAGCTTTTCTGCCCTGGAATCCTATAGATGTTCCTTTTCCACCCTGGAATCCTATAGACATTCCTTTTCATAAGCCTCAATGAAGTATGTCTCAGTAGAGTGCACCTCGGGCACTATATCAGGAGACTTCAAGACTGTTGGAGAATAGAGATCTATAGTCCAAGTACTCCAGGAGCTTCGCGGTGTGTCTGGACATGGATGTAGCAGCAGAAAAGATACACAGTCAGATAAATGAGCATGACTGGACAAACCTAAATGAGTGGAAGAGTTGGGGAGTTCATGGTGAAGGCATCTTGTGTCCAGGGCAAGAGGGGTGGTATTGATGGGAGTTCTATACATAGTGTGTGTGACAGTAGTCAGCTGTCTTCATTCCCGTCAATGAGGAGAAGTTTCATGAAAGATGTGACATTTCAGATAGTTTATTTTTAGGTGAGTGAGCATTCCCAACCTATTAGACCTATTAGAAAGAAGCTGGCAGGCAGGAGGGGGCTAGGGACATGAAGGAGTTTGAAATAAGTGAGTCTGAGAGTCAGGAAGGTACAGGGTATGTTGGGAAAGAG